GTATGTTGGATCGCTGTTGTTTGACTTCTTTGAGTAATTTTTCCACCAGTCCTGTTTTGTCCTGTCCAGTCTGGTCCTGTGTGTCTGAGAGGATCATTGCCTACCGCTGTGCTATACTGCTTCTGTGTTACTCTCAGCAGTCGCCGAGGAGAGTAGCTGAGGGTCTGACTACAAGAGCGCTGTACCAGTTCCATAGCTCCCGACCACTCTGGGTGGCCAGCTGAGGCCCCTTATCTCCATCTGCAGAGCTACTTTCTGTTCTCTTCTGTGAAAAGACATTTTTTGTTATTCAGCCTGTGAGGCGGTGATTTATTTTCTTATTAAAGTTTTGAGTTATTTCTGCAACCTACTCTGGACTCCTCTGAATCTGTGACAGAATAATCCGACCACCAGGATGGAGCGGGCTGGCGATCATCCCATTCAAGCAGCCGTGGAGATGCAGGGAGCACTGTTGGGGAGGCACGACGAGGAGCTCACCTCGGCTCGCCGCGCTGTGGACTCTTTATCAGCACAAGTAGCCGATCTTTCCCAGCAGCTTCATGTAATCCGTCTGGAGGTTACTCGCTCTGTTAACCCGGAGTTACCTGAACCACGGGTAAATAATCCTCCTTGTTATGCCGGCGAACCGACGGAGTGTCTGCCTTTTCTGACCCAATGCGAGGTGGTGTTTTCTCTCCAGCCAACGACCTACGACAGAGAACGCTCTCGCATCGCCTACGTAATCTCCCTTCTAAAGGGCAGGGCCCGCGAATGGGGAACCGCGGTCTGGAACGCTGAGGGAGAATGTCTGAGTCATTACTCACGCTTTAGGGAGGAGATGCTGCATGTCTTTGACCGCTCCGTTCATGGCCCCGAAGCCTCCCGTGCTCTTTCTTCATTGCGTCAGGGACGACGCACCGTTTCTGATTTCTCCGTGGAGTTTCGAACCCTCGCTACTTCGTGCGGGTGGAATGAGCCGGCTCTGGTGGCTCGTTTTACAGAGGGTCTCAACGCCGAAATAAGGGACGAGGTTCTGGCCCGGGAGGTTCCTACTAGTCTCGATCTTCTGATGGACTCGGCGTTACGGGTGGAGAAGCGCTTCGAACTGCGTCAACGCGCGCGCCACTCCAGCAACATGCCTACACCGGTGAACTTTGTCAACGCTCCGCTGTCTCCTCCTGATTCTGAGCCTATGCAGCTGGGAGGGATAAGAATCTCTGCTACCGAACGCCAGCGCCGGATCATCAACCGTCTCTGCCTTTACTGCGGTTCTGACAAGCACTTTGTTACCGCGTGTCCAGTAAAAGGCAGAGCTCACCAGTCATGAGAGGGAGACTGGTGAGCGCATCCTCCTTAGACCCTCTTCCGCGCTCCCGCACGACGCTGCTGTGAGTCTCCGCTGGGCTCGCTCTTCTGCCACCTGTTCTGCTCTGATTGACTCTGGGGCGGAGGGAAATTTTATGGACAGGGACTGGGCCCTCGAGCAGGGGATTCCACTTGTTGATCTGCAGGACCCTTTCTCTGTCTTCGCCCTGGATGGCAGTATTCTTGCCCAGGTTTGCTGTACCACAGCACCGGTGAGTCTCACCGTATCTGGCAACCACACAGAGACAATTTCCTTTCTAATTTTTAGTTCTCCTCACACTCCCTTAGTTTTAGGCCATCCGTGGCTCAACGAACACAATCCCCAGATTGATTGGTCTAAGAATTTTATACTGTCCTGGGGGGCTTTCCTGCCATGTTAAGTGTCTTGTGTCTGCTGTTTCTCCCGTGTCCTCTGTTTCTGTCTTTCAGGAAGATCCGGGGGATTTGACCGGGGTTCCGGAGGAGTACTTCGATCTGCGGGCGGTTTTCAGTCGCTCCCGGGCCGCATCTCTACCTCCCAACCGGCCATACGACTGTAGTATAGAGCTTCTCCCGGGAACCACGCCCCCCCGGGGAAGGCTCTATTCTCTTTCCGCACCAGAGCACAAGGCTCTGGAGAAGTATCTCTCTGAGTCGTTGAACGCGGGTCTTATCGCTCCTTCTACTTCTCCAGCTGGGGCAGGGTTTTTTTTTGTGAAGAAGAAGGATGGTTCGCTGCGTCCTTGCATAGATTACAGAGGTCTGAACGCCATTACCGTTAAGAACAGGTACCCGTTACCTCTCATGTCTTCGGCTTTTGAGATCTTGCAAGGAGCGCAGTTCTTCACAAAACTAGACCTCCGTAACGCCTATCATTTGATCCGCATCAAGGAGGGTGACGAGTGGAAGACGGCGTTTAATACCCCTTTGGGGCACTTCGAATATCGCGTCCTTCCGTTCGGTTTGGTCAACGCACCCGCCGTGTTTCAAGCGCTCATAAATGATGTCCTCAGGGACATGTTAAATCTGTTCGTGTTCGTCTACCTAGACGATATTCTCATTTTCTCTCCTACTCTCCAAGTTCATGTACAGCACGTTAGACAGGTCCTTCAGCGTCTTTTAGAGAACCGTCTTTTTGTTAAAGCCGAGAAATGCACCTTTCACGCTCCTACGGTTACATTCCTCGGCTCCGTTATCTCCGCTCAGGGGATTAGTATGGATCCTGTCAAGGTTCATGCAGTCATTGACTGGCCTATCCCCGAGTCTCGTGTCGCTCTTCAGCGGTTTTTGGGGTTCGCGAATTTTTATCGACGGTTTATCCGGGGTTTTAGTCAGATTGCGGCTCCCCTCACCGCGCTCACGTCGGTTAAGTCACAGTTCTCCTGGACTGTTGCCGCTCAGGCGGCTTTTGAGCGTCTCAAATTTCTCTTTTCTTCCGCTCCTATTCTTATCACTCCAGATTTGGAGAGACAATTCATTGTCGAGGTCGACGCGTCGGAGGTGGGTGTGGGGGCTATCCTCTCTCAACGCTCCCCCGTTGATGAGCGGATCCACCCCTGCGCTTTTTTCTCACATCGTCTTACCCCCGCCGAGCGGAATTATGATGTGGGGAATCGAGAGCTCTTAGCTATTCGTCTTGCTTTGGGGGAGTGGCGTCATTGGCTGGAGGGATCGGTTGTTCCGTTCATAGTTTGGACCGACCATAAGAACCTCGAGTACATCCGTTCTGCCAAAAGGCTTAACGCCCGTCAAGCTCGTTGGTCCCTTTACTTTACGCGCTTTGATTTTACCATCTCTTTTCGGCCGGGGTCCAAGAATCAGAAGCCTGATGCTCTCTCACGTCAGTTTCCTTCCCCTGAGACCATGCCTACGGAGGAGGGGATTCTCCCCCAGGGGGTGATAGTAGGCGCGGCCATCTGGGGAATCGAACGTCTGGTTAAGCGTACGCTGTCTCACACTCGAACGCCGCGGCTTTGTCCTAAGGGTCTTTTATTTGTTCCCCCATCTGCCCGCCGCGCCGTAATCCAGTGGGGACATTCTTCTAAATTGTTCGTCCACCCGGGGGTCAGGGGTACGATCGCCGCGGTCAAACAGAGGTTTTGGTGGCCCTCTCGCGAACGTGACATTCGGCGTTTCATAGCCTCCTGTTCGATCTGCGCCCAGACTAAGGGTTCTAATAGACCTCCGGCGGGGTTTCTTAGGCCTCTTCCTGTCCCATCTCGTCCATGGGCTCAAATTGCGCTTGATTTTATCACTGGGCTTCCTCTCTCCAGGGGTAACCAGGTCATTCTCACTGTAATTGACCGTTTTTCCAAAGCCGCCCATTTCGTCCCGTTGCCTAAACTTCCGTCCGCCAAGGAGACCGCTCAGGTCGTTGTTGATCACGTTTTTAGGATCCATGGTCTTCCGGAGAACGTAGTTTCGGATAGGGGACCGCAATTCTCGTCTCTCTTCTGGAAGGAATTCTGTCGCCTCATTGGCGCGTCGGTCAGTCTCTCCTCTGGGTATCATCCCCAGACGAACGGTCAGGCCGAACGCGCTAATCAGACGATTGGCCGCCTATTACGCTGTTTAGCTTTTCGCAATCCCGCGTCCTGGGCGGAACAACTTTCGTGGGCTGAGTATGCCTATAACTCCGCTCCAGCGTCTGCGACCGGCTTTTCGCCCTTTCAGAGTTGTTTAGGATACCAGCCTCCGCTTTTTCCATCCTCCGATTTGGAGTCCAAGGTGCCTTCCGCCCTAGCTTTTATCCAGCGCTGTAAACGAACTTGGAGAATGGTTAGAGCTGCACTCTGTAAGTCTCGCTCGGTCACTCTTCGAGCCGCTAATAAGCGTCGAATCAAGAGTCCGCGATATGCGTGTGGTCAGAGGGTTTGGCTTTCGACTGCCAACCTCCCTCTTCAATATCCATCGCGCAAGCTCGCTCCCAAATTCATTGGACCATTCCGCGTTGTTAGGGTCCATAGTCCGGTCGCGGTCAGATTGAGATTGCCGGCCAGTCTGCGTCGGGTCCATCCGGTGTTCCATGTTTCTAATTTAAAGCCCGTAGTTCGCGCTCCTCCGCGTCCTGTCGTGTCTCCGGTTCGTGTCGAGGGTGCTCCCATTTACCGTGTCCGCAGATTACTCGACGTTCGCCCCAGGGGGAGGGGTCATCAGTTTTTGGTCGATTGGGAGGGGTATGGTCCTGAGGAGAGATGTTGGATCCCCTCCCGGGACGTCCTGGACCGCTCGCTGATTGACGACTTCCTTCGCGCCCGTCAGTCATCCTCTGGTGCGCCAGGTGGCGCACCTTGAGGAGAGGGTACTGTCATGAGTCTGGTTCTTTCTTTCTGTTTTCTTTCCTTTGTCTCCCTCTGCCGGTTAGACATCATCATTTCTTCTCTTTCCACACGCTTACACTTCTATTTTCTCCTCCTTTCATTACCGTCAGCTGTTTCTCATATTCTCATCAACTACACACCTGTTCTCTATCTTCTCCTCATCTCCACGCTACTTCTAGCCCTCTCTTTCTTGTCTGAATTGTCGGATTATTGTTTGACCCTAACGTATGTTGGATCGCTGTTGTTTGACTTCTTTGAGTAATTTTCCACCAGTCCTGTTTTGTCCTGTCCAGTCTGGTCCTGTGTGTCTGAGAGGATCATTGCCTACCGCTGTGCTATACTGCTTCTGTGTTACTCTCAGCAGTCGCCGAGGAGAGTAGCTGAGGGTCTGACTACAAGAGCGCTGTACCAGTTCCATAGCTCCCGACCACTCTGGGTGGCCAGCTGAGGCCCCTTATCTCCATCTGCAGAGCTACTTTCTGTTCTCTTCTGTGAAAAGACATTTTCTGTTATTCAGCCTGTGAGGCGGTGATTTATTTTCTTATTAAAGTTTTGAGTTATTTCTGCAACCTACTCTGGACTCCTCTGAATCTGTGACAGTATGTAGGACTGCTGCTGATTGATTGCTGATTGACTATCACCTGTTCTGATTCAACTCTGATTAGTTAACCTATATCTGGCTTGTTAACCTGGTGTCTGGTTGTGAAGGATTGTTTCACTGTTGTGTGCATGTCTGAGCATTCCTGGTTTTCCTTGCCTATCTGTGTCTTGACTCTTGCCTGGGTGGATCTCTGTGATTTTCTGCAGCCTGCCTAGTGACCCTCTGCCTGTTTCTGGATTTCGTTTGCCTGCAGCCCGCACTTGATCTTCAGCCTGGTTATCGACACGCCTTTGTTTAACCCTGAAACTGTTGATGCTGATTCTTTATCTTTGACAAAGTCTTAGATTTGAATAAATTGTTGCATTTGGATCTGCCTCTGTCATCTCCTTCATAACACTAGCCATGATAATGTCATTTTTTAACATTTGTTTTTAATTGTAAAGATAAGATTAAAGGGATCAAATTGGATTTGACAGTTAGTTTTTTTAACCTATTGACCTCCTAGCATTGATAATGTTGAATTAAAGATAAGGTCGTGGAATTCCCCTCCCTGCCAGGTGTCGCAGGGTTAGTGAGAAAAATAGTTTTTCTAATAATGCTACATATCTCACAATAATTAAAGTTGAAAAGCATTCAGTTTATTTAAAATAAAATAAAAAAGATTTGAGTGATTTCTCTATCATGCAGGCAGATAGGTGCATTTATGTCTCTGTGTGAGTTACACAGATTTTTATGTTTAGTTAAAATAAACAAGGCTATACTGTAATTCCTTTCAAAACAACAGGTAGTGTGTTTTGCTAATCATTTATTTTCCAGTTATAATCTGTTGAACGCTATTTCATCTGTAGGGAGACAAGCATGAAATACAGCTGATGGTTTGATGTACCTCGCAGTTCACAGTCAGGGTACAGATAAAGTACCAAAATTCAAAATACAATAAAATGTCCATACATTTAAAGTTAAAAAGATCCCAGATTGTTTTCTCTTTCACAGGCAGTGTATGGCAGGTCACTATGCCACACAGTCTTCTATGCCTATGTGTGTGAGAAAGAGTTGATATCAATAAATTACTTTAGACCTCTCTGAATCCTGAAAACCTCTAAGTCAGACGGGGGCCCGGGCGCACTTATCTGTGTGTGTGTGTGTGTGTGTGTGTGGGTGTTACATGATACCCTCTGCATTCCTGAAGACACTGTGGAAGTGAGGACAATATACAGTATATATATATATATATATATATATATATATATATATATATAACTTTCACTATACACGCTACCACTAGGCTCAATTTTTAGGAATCATGGGCTGTCTTTTAATTTTAATGCAGACGACACTCAAATCTACCTCCCTTTGAAACATAATGACAAGCAAGGCCTAGAAACTTTGCTTGCCTGCTTATCTGACGTACGGTCCTGCATGTCCTTGAATTTTCTGCACTTGAATGAGAGTAAGACTGAAGCAATTGTTTTTTGGCCCCTCTGTTGGAAAAGCAAACCCCGAATACTGACTACGATTATTTAGACTCTAAACGAGAGCACACATTACTTTTTTTTAACGATTTTATTATCTCTAAATTGGTTGCCAGTGTGTTATATAAATTTTGTTGCTAGTTTTAAGGCTTAGACTGGTCTTGCACCATCCTATCTGTCAGATCTTTTAAATGTGAAAAAATTAACAAGATCATTGCGATCCTCAGACAGCATTATACTGCCATATCCAAGATCAAGATTCAAGTTGCGAGGATCGTGCGTTTTCAGCGGCCAGTCCTAGGATATGGAATAGTCTTCTTCCTTTATCTGTGAGGTCTGCATCATCTGTACATGAATTTAAATCTAAGCTACAGTCTAATCTTTTTACTCTTGCATTTCATTCATAACGTTGGTTTCTCTAAACCCTAACCTAGTGTTTTATAGTTTGTTATTAGTGCATTGTGTGTGGTTTGTTTTTTACTTCTCCATTTGTACAGCACAGTGGTCAGCTTCTGTTGTGCTTTATATATGTCACACTAAAGTTGAAAAACATTATGTTCTATATAAATTAAATGGTTATAAAATGTACATCTAGTCATTTACAAATATAGTATTTAACACTAACTATAGTTGAAAAACACTGATCTTCAAAAGTATATAAATGAAATGGTTATAAATGTGCAATAATTAATTTACAAATATAATATTTCATACTATAACGTTGAAAAACATGCTGTTCTTTAAAAGTATATACATTAAATATAAAAATAAACTATATAAAAAATAATATTTCTCTCTCTCTCCCTCTTTCTCTCTCGAACACCCAGCGCACGGCAGACCTGGGGCCCAGTGGTGGAACTAGAGTTTTATACATGGGGTGGCCAGGGGGTGGCCACTGCTATTTTGGGGGGCACACACACACACACACACACACACACAGTGGAAGTAATTGGGTCACTCTGTTTGTAATAAGTGTTGAACATCCAAAATATTAGCAGAAAACAAAGCTGAAGCACCAAGGACATAAGATACAGTAGCATGTGTCAGGTTATTTTATTTATAAAATTATTTGGTTACCAACATGCTTTAAAATATCTATTTTTTTGTTCATTTTTGGGTGAACTATACTTTTAATCTGACAAAATCATATCAACTGAAATTCCTGAATTCGGGATGTGACTGCCTGTGTCTAGATGCTCTGACATGTTGCTGGTCCTGAAGTCTGACCACACTGACTCTGACTAGCCACAGGTAGGGAGCTGCTCTGGGTTCCAGTGATGGAAGGGCTGGGGTCTGTTTGCAATTGCACCTGATCTGTCTGTTTGTGCTTCTTTAAAAATAACTCTGATATCTCTCCCTTTCTTTTCATGTTTAATTGACCCTGTTCAAAATATGAAAAAATTGAAAATATGATTCCAATCATATTCATTTCTAATAATAATCATCCCAATAACCAACATTAAAAATAATTAAAGCTGCGAGCAGCATTTAGCGGGGTTCAAGCAGTTTAGGCCTTTAAGGCCTTTAAGCACAAAAGCATCAAAAGACATTAAGTGTTATGTAGAAAGCATGATTTACCATGATATACCATATTTAGAGTCAAGTATATCTCCATCTTTGTTCAAAGTAAAAAAATGATCATACTTTATGATGCTAGTTTAAATTTAAAAAGAAAAAAAAATTAAAAGGAAATTTCTTTGGCATTTCTTTCTTTTTGTTGTATCTAAAATGAACTGAACCATGACCAATGTATCGCACACAAAATTGTATACACTGAACTGTGAATTTTGTGGACTGTTGCACCCTACCGTTTCTTTTGGGATGAATGATTCAACAATGATTCAATTTCCGCAATTTGTGAAGAAAAATAAAAACTTTCAAACTCAATACTGGAATACAAATGGATTCTGATTCTGAATCCAATACAAATGGAATCCAATATTGGATTTGACTCAAAACACAATGCTTCACAATTCCTCCCAATAATCTACCTTGACTTTCAGGAGTAGATGGAAAATATTGGAAATGGAAAACACCTTACAGCCAATACAGGCAATTTACCATTGGAAATGCATGGTTTTAAAGATTTTTAACAGTTATAGCGCCACCTATGGTTCGATCTCCATGAAACTGTGCATGCTTCTTCAGCATGTTATGTCACATACGCTCATCAATTTTTGTGAAGTTCTGAGTTTTTATTTATTATTTATAGGCTTTTGATTGAGTGCATAAAGACAAAAAATATAAGAATAAGAATGTAGCCTACTGATGAAAGATTGTGTCTGCTTTGTTTTATAAGAAATATTTCTGTGTCAAGAATTCCAAATTTCCTGTACTCTCAAATTTTGTATAGTAGTGCTACTCATGTTTTAACACCAGGCATGCATAAAAGAGATGTTTCCTGTTTCAAAATCCACTACAAAACATTGGACTGTAATGTATGAAGAATAAAAACTATGGAAGGATTTACCATTGATATTACACATTTTCTAATTAGGAAAATTACTTTAAAGGTGAAACTATTTTAAAGGTGCCATCTGTCAAAAAAAATCAAATCATACTCCATATTCCATACCAGATGGGCGCAGTATACCTCCAAAAAGTGAGTTGTGTAGCGGCCGCGCTCATGTGCACTCTCACGTCTTCAAACAACACAGGTGAGCGCTGTTTTGCTCCCTCTACCTAGTGCATATTAATCAAATCATTTGACACGATAGTAAAAGGTTGGAAGGCCGCAGTTTCACGTGTAGCATTTGGAGATTTTTAGAGATTAGAGACTCAATGAACAACATCTCAGCACTAAATTATAAAGTTCGTCTCATAGACGCCTGTATCAAATACAAGCCGGTGCATTCCGACGATATGGGAAAATAAAAAGCCCAGACTATTATTTGTAGTTTAATGGTATTTTTTTTTCATATTACATTTCTATTGTTAGTTTGAATTAATTTGACAGAGAGCATTCACTGAGGTTGACCAAGCTAGCGCCATTTAGAGCTGCCAACTCTCATGAATTCTCTGCGAGACACTCAATTGACACTTTTCAGTGAAAAGTTTTCACACGCTCTCAGGCACAGAAAAAGGACACAGAGAATGACAGACAAGATGCAGCAGGTTAGTTATGATATATAAAAAATCTCAGCTCTCAGATTTTGTCAATTTTATTACGCAATTCAAACAATAAATACACTTTTGGTGCTTGTAAATGTTACACGACAGAGTGCACGTGAAACGATCATCTCTACTAGCTAATGGTAAAAGAACTCGAAAACTGTTGAAAGAAACAGTATGTTACAACTTACCAGAATGTATTCCTTATGCATAATATCGACAAATAATTTTTTGAACTCTTCCCAGAACTGAAATGTAGTAGTGGGCTGTTTCCACATGATTGACATCAGGTTCACGTAGATGTAGACCCACAAGCCATGCGAGTTATTCGTGTATTGCAGTTTGACTGATGGTTATGTTGCCCGCCCGCATACTGCCTCCCATGGCTGAAACTGGTATTATGACACCTGCCGGGCTGCGGCTAGTAATTTAGCTTGCTGAAATAAATTCAAGGTTAATATCTCAGCAGCACTATAACTTGTTATTTTTTAATGACATCATCAACCTTATTTCTTCTCATTCTTTTGATGCGTGTAGCTCATTTTTGCGATATTTTAACTTCAATTTTTACAGATGGCACCTTTAATAACACTATATATGGTAAATTGTTGTTTTTGATATTTGGAATAAATGTTAGGTTCATTGACCTAACTTTTTATTGGTTTTGATTAAACATAGTATTTGTATTTGATTGTTGGGACCCCAGGAAGAGAAGGCTAATGAGGATCCAAATAAACAAATAAAATCAGAACATAGGAAAGAACATCTACAGCCAATACCAACAATTTACTTAGGAAAATATATTTTTGCCTTTTTTGACAGTAACAGAATCTTGTCTTGCCTGATCTACACCACTTTTTTTAGTAGTCCTCAAAGTGTGCCCATATATATGTAAAATGTGTTGTAAATATCTCATTTCGTTATGAAGTTTAGAAACTTATTTACATTTGGGCATTATGTCAATTACTAAAGCTATTTGCCTGTTTTCAAATTGCCTATTTTTTTTTGTCTTGATCGAACTAACACCTTTGAAGATAACAACATTTATTCATTTATTTTTTTCAAAGCTCTAAATGTCACCGTTACAAAAACTATAAGGCCAAACCTGGCATGTTTGGTATCATTGGACTCGTCAAGGATTCAGGAGTGTGAAGAGGGCACTCCCATGAAAAAAACGCAGGGTTGAAAATTCTCAGGCTCCTTCAGGGCATTGTGCCGATGACCTATACTGAGTTTTTTGAGATACACCAATGTTGTCATAGACTATAAAGGTACCCTGGACAAACAGACTGCATGCCAATTTTTATTTGACTAGTGGTTGGTTGCGGTAATGGCCATTTTCATGACTTTTTTCCCTGTTATAGCGCCACCAAGTGGCCAATCATCGCGATTTTTTTCATGTGACCTCAGAATGAGCTCAGGAAGAGGTGTCCCAAGTTTAGCAAAAATATCTCATTCCAGTCACAAGTTATAACCATTTTAGTAAAAGTGGCTCTCGTGCCATCAAACATTTTGGTTCCCCTTAGCAACCGATAATTGAATTTGTGAAATTTTTTAATGATTATAGACAGTGAGACTCCAGAGAACATTTCTGCAGTGGTTTGGTTCAGATTGGGCCAAAAACCTAGAAATAGTTCTCAAAAGTTTGTTTTTCAAAAAAACGCAATTTACTCCAAATTGTCAAATGAAGGGCGAGCCAATCCGAGGCATGCATCTTGTCCGGCTGGAGCCAAGGATTCCAACGATGTAAGACACTTGAGCCTACGCCCGACGGTTGAGGAGTTATGAGCCATTTCGTACTTTTGCCCGCTGTAGCGCCCCCGTCAGGCCGATCGGGCCCGCCTTTGTGACGCTGTCGGCGGATATGAGTACTACCAGCCCACAAAGTTTCAGGTCTCTAGGACTTACGGTTCGTCCTGCACGATCAGTTTTTACATGGAGAATGTTGCATTATGGGTAAATTAACAATAACAATAGGGTTTCAGCACTTCGTGCTTGAACCCCTAAAATCAGCCACCATTAGCGTTTTTGGTCATTTTCACAATATCTGAACATGTCAAAAGAAAGAACAGATCATGTGCTTTAAAAAAACGGTTCTATTATAGGCCTAGCTTTATGCATCCTTTTTATCAACACTCGAATGTTGGTAAGTTTCATAAAAAGCAACATGAGCAAAAAGCTGAGAAAATTGCATTCATCAAAGACTACATCTAGATCCGATTCTGGTGTGGGTTTCCCGTACAACTAACGTATGCTGCCCTACAAAGGCAAAGTGCAGTAACTATGTTACGCAAACAAAGAAACGGAGGAAAAGGATTAAAGTTTTTATACCAGCCAGTCAAACATGTTATGGGTAGATTATGTGGTAATGCATCTCCGAAACAGGACATAATTTAACCCAGATATTTTTTCACAAGACAGACATGTCATAAAGCCCATTACAAGTCTTAACTCATTTTTAACCAAATATCATATGTAATTTTAGTTACTGCGCTTTGCCTTTGTAGGGCAGTGTGCAGGGCTGCCAACTCTCACGCATTGAGTGTGAGACAATTCTCACGCTACACCCCCGATTTCTCATGCTAAAGTGTCAAGCCGGTCCCTAAAATACCTGAAAAGATGAGTTTATGTATAGTTCCACCCGTTGAGCCACTCGTGATCGACTAGTTTTACCGCAAATTAGTTAAAATATCCTCTAATTTAGAGAGAACGTGCATAGCCTACGATACAGATGTTGTGCTCCTAACGGCGCGGACGCAAAGCCAGGACTGGAGCCAAAGCCCGTTCCTCTCTGCACTCTAAAGCGTTCTGTTATCACTCCGCCTCCATCCACTACGGGTTTTCCAGTCTCACGCACAGGAAAAACGGACGATTTTAAAAGATCTTGTTTTATTTTTTTATATATATAAAAAAACTGCTCCGTGTCCGATTTTAAAAGATAAGTTAATCTTATTTTTTGTTTTTATGTATCACAAACGTCTGAATTTATAATCAATGGCTTGGAAAGCCTTGTCATTGAACTATGCTGATAACGACCGACTTGCGACCATAGTTGCATAGTATTGCATAGTTGCCAACGATGCTTTCGGGAAACACACCCAGAATGATGATCAAAAAACAGTAACTACATGGCATGGTAGCCTACTGTAACCCTGATGCTAAAACTTACTTCAAATATGTTTCTTCTGTGAAGATGAAGACGTATCCTGACTTGCAACCATCTCTCGTCCTCTGCTGCTCGTCTGTTTGAAATATGCGCACGTGCTGAAGAACGTATTTTATTTATTTTTTTTTTAAATCAGCATTAGCAACTGCCAATACAATTTTGGGGTGGCACCCGGGGTGGCCAATCGCATGTCAGGGGTGTCCAGTGCCACCCCGGACCCCCCTCTGGCTCCGCCACTGCTGGGGACTCATGTATAAAACTTTGCGTAGATTTCATCCTTAAAGTGTGCGTACGCACATAAGGCAGAATTTGCGTACGCACAAAAGTTTTCAGATTTATAAAACGTTCGT